CACTGTATGATTAAAATGTAAACTTACGCATTGACTCGGGCAGCTATTTTCCCCCAAGCTAACTCTCTCTCTTTCGCCGCTGCAACCGTGTTGCTTCTCTTACGGAATATGGGCTCGTAGTCACTATATGCTTGTAGTAGCACATCCATTTCTGTCGGGGAAAAACGCAGACCTATTTTGGCTTGGTCCTGTTGCCATGGTGACTCGTAATTTCTTCACTCCATTGTTCAGGGCTTTTTATAGTCGCGTGGCACGCGCCTAACTCTGAGTCAGACAACTCAGAGTTGATTAAACCAACTCTTTTCAGCTGTTCTGAAACCGAAAACTCAGAGTTTTCCAACTCTGAGTAAGTCAACTCAGAGTTCAGGTTTGAACTCTGAGTTTGTTAAACCTCTTTCTTGAAATAGGCCCCTGGTGTGTACTTTCTTCCAAAACAAAAACTCTACTTGGCATTCTTTCTGTTACAATTGGATATTTAAATATCCCTAATAACAACTCATGGAAATATATACAGTGGGTACGGAAAGTATTCAGACCCCCTTAAATTTTTCACTCTTTGTTATATTGCAGCCATATGCTAAGATCATTTAAGTTCATTTTTTGCCTCATTAATGCACACACAGCACCCCATATTGATAGAAAAACACAGAACTTTTGACATTTTTGCAGATTTATTAAAAAAGAAAAACTGAAATATCACATGGTCATAAGTATTCAGACCCTTTGCTGTGACACTCATATATTTAACTTGGGTGCTGTCCATTTTTTCTGATCATCCCTGAGATGGTTCTACACCTTCATTTGAGTCCAGCTGTGTTTGATTATACTGATTGGACGTGATTAGGAAAGCCACACACCTGTCTATATAAGACCCTACAGCTCACACTGCATGTCAGAGCAAATGAGAATCATGAGGTCAAAGGAACTGCCTGAAGAGCTCACAGACAGAATTGTGGCAAGGCACAGATCTGGCCAAGGTTACAAAAAAAAATTTCTGCTGCACTTAAGGTTCCTAAGAGCACAGTGGCCTCCATAATCCTTAAATGGAAGACGTTTGGGACGACCAGAACCCTTCCTAGAGCTGGCCGTCCGGCCAAACTGAGCTATCAGGGGAGAAGAGCCTTGGTGAGAGAGGTACAGAAGAACCCAAAGATGACTGTGGCTGAGCTCCAGAGATGCAGTCGGGAGATGGGAGAAAGTTGTAAAAAGTCAACCATCACTGCAGCCCTCCACCAGTCGGGGCTTTAGGGCAGAGTGCCCCGACAGAAGCCTCTCCTCAGTGCAAGACACATGAAAGCCTGCATGGAGTTTGCTAAAAAACACCTGAAGGACTCCAAGATGGTGAGAAATAAGATTCTCTGGTCTGATGAGACCAAGATAGAACTTTTTGGCCTTAATTCTAAGCGGTATGTGTGGAGAAAACCAGGCACTGCTCATCACCTGTCCAATACAGTCCCAACAGTGAAGCATGGTGGTGGCAGCATCATGCTATGGGGGTGTTTTTCAGCTGCAGGGACAGGACGACTGGTTGCAATCGAGGGAAGGATGAATGCGGCCAAGTACAGGGATATCCTGGACGAAAACCTTCTCCAGAGTGCTCAGGACCTCAGACTGGGCCGAAGGTTCACCTTCAAACAAGACAATGACCCTAAGCACACAGCTAAAATAACGAAGGAGTGGCTTCACAACAACTCCGTGACTGTTCTTGAATGGCCCAGCCAGAGCCCTGACTTAAACCCAATTGAGCATCTCTGGAGAGACCTGAAAATGGCTGTCCACCAACATTGACCATCCAACCTGACAGAACTGGAGAGGATCTGCAAGGAGGAATGGCAGAGGATCCCCAAATGCAGGTGTGAAAAACTTGTTGCATCATTCCCAAAAAGACTCATGGCTGTATTAGCTCCAAAGGTGCTTCTACTAAATACTGAGCAAAGGGGCTGAATACTTATGACCATGTGATATTTCAGTTTTTCTTTTTTAATAAATCTGCAAAAATGTCAAACATTCTGTGTTTTTCTGTCAATATGGGGTGCTGTGTGTACATTAATGAGGAAAAAAATGAACTTAAATGATTTTAGCATATGGCTGCAATATAACAAAGAGTGAAAAATTTAAGGGGGTCTGAATACTTTCCGTACCCACTGTACATAAATGAACATTCAACTTTTTTGAAGTGCAACTATCTATATCCAAGCATGCTTATTAGTAATCATACAGTTTTGCTTAACCTGTGTTATGTGAAACTCGGTGAGCTTCTCCCTCGCCCATTGCCCTGTGCTGTCCATGGTCCCGACCCGCTTCCAGGGCATTAGGTTCTCCAGTTTCTCCTCAGCAGCTTTCGTTTGGTCTGCTTTCGTGATCCATTTGATTTGGAGTCCTCTTTTGGTGAAATCCTGTGCTGCTTCATTTGCACTGTCGTAGATTTGTAATCCTGTTTCCCAAAACATTCTCATTCTGGTATAAGGCATCTGAAATCTAACACCTTTCTCCTTCAGCGCTGCTTTTATTGGCCCGTATGCCTTGCGTTTTTCCATGATATTGGACGCATAGTCATTATCAAAGTAAAGACGTTTACCATCTAGCTCGATCTTCTGTTGCCATGCTTTCCTGAGCACCAGTTCTTTAATCTGTAACTGGAGGAAATTAATGATTATTGATCTCGGCGCCACAGCGGGGGCAGGTTTGGGAATCAATGCTGTATGTGCACGCTGAATTTGAAGTTGAACTCCGTCTGGTAGTTTGATGTGTGTTGTTAGCAGTTCCAAGACAAAGTCTAGGACAGATTTGCCCTCTTTCTCCTGCGGTACCCCGGTAGGTTGTTTCTTCGTCCATGACTTTCTAGGTCCACAATCTTGTCACACATTTCACTGTTTTGTTATGGTAGTAAGCAATGTATCTTTCATTTCAAGACACGCCGCCTTGAGGTCTGCAATACATGCTTGGGCGTCTGAAATGTTAGCACTCTGGTTTTGCAGCTTCTGTTGCACATCTTCTTTGAACTTATTCAGGTCCTCCTTCATAGCTGTCCTCACGTCGTTTCTAAAGTCACCCAGTTCGTGCTTAATATCCTTTTTAAAGTCACGTAGCTCGTTTGAAAGCAACATCAGGCCCTCTAACAGCTTACCATATTGTATAGTCAAGTTAGCATCCGGCGCAGAGTTAGCATCTTCATCGATGTCCTCTCCTGTTTGGTTGACATTTTCCTGTTGTTTGGGCATTTTCTTGTCAGTTCTCGAACCTTTTGGCATTTTCCTCCTTCAGTGTTGTAATTTCCACTATTATAGAAAGTTTTTATGTCACCAGAGGGTATTTTTAATAGCCGACACCACGAGCTCCGAATTATGCGTCCATCTTGGTCCTGCGCACCCAGAAGTCCGAACCCATTCATTTCCATGTGTTGCATGGAACAAGAACGTATCTGCGCCGAGCTGAGCGCAGTGCAAGGTCATGTGCGCTATCCATGCGCTTGATGCTGAAGTTAAAAAGGGTTCAACTTTGGCGCAGTGCTCTGTGATGACACCTCGACGCATCGACGCATCCAATTGCAGAGAACCTGACAGACCACAAAGAAAATGGAGGAGAAACTGATTTTGGCGGACCCACACCCTCTTTTTCTTTGCTGCAGTTTGTCCCCTTCTCATCATCAATACAACTAAAGTCAGAGCTTTTCACTGACATGTAGATAGATACATTGTGCATCCAAGCCCGCTGCACAAAAAGCTATTTAATATCTGCTAACCACCTCCTCCAAATCTTTTTGGCTACCTAGCAACTGGTACCCAACATGCACAATTTGCTCATGTGTGCCCTTCTCCCCTGTGCTTCGCCCAACCCCCATGGCAAGTGCAGTGCATACCTTGTCCTATCTGAAAGCCCTTTTACTGCCCCCAACAATCCCTGTAGACTCATTTAGCCACACATCAGCAGCCAACTCTTTTAAGATATGTAAAAGCATAAAAAAATCACGAGTGGGGTATTTACTGATGTATTTTATAAAACAAAAAGTGAAAATGTATTGGCCTTGTTGGCCACATTGGCCACAGACCTTATTTCAGGCATCTAACCAAAAACCCACTGACTTTGTGGATGAGGGAACCAGAAGTGCAAATGCAAACTCAGTTCTAGGACTCAAAACAACAGTACTCTATTATTAGCCTACTTTATAATGGAAACCTGGTGAATATGAAATAAAGTTTCATATTAAAATGCAAATTTTAGCATTGAGCTGACTCTGCTGACCATAATTTTCATTAAGTAGAATCCCAAATACATTCCATACGGATTATGATTAACATGATTTGTACTAATTTATTGTCTCCAGCTCTGTCCTACCGCTGGCTCATCAATGAGTTTCCCAATTTCATTAAGAAGGACGATGGCCGCTGGTTTGTGTCACAGGTAACAGGGAACCTGTATGTGGCTAAAGCAGAGCCAAACGACACAGGAAATTACTTCTGCTTCACTACCATCAACATGGACATCAGCACCAAGAGCACCTTCAGCAAGGCCAACCAACTCACTGTACTGCCTGATGGTATGGAGGCTTTGAAGCTGCATCACTGATTTG